TCCTGGGCGCGGCTCTGGGCCGTGGCCCTCAAGTTTGGCTCAGAGTAAACCTCTTTAAAATTATTTTACAGAGTTTGGCTTCTTTTCTGTTAACACTTGTGATGCATTTATTTCCCTGGCCACGACTTGCAAAAAAAAAACGAGCATATCGAGCACGCAGCAGTTTCTGAGAGTGGAGGGGAAATGGAAAAAGACCTCCCGAGAAGCAGCTGCTGCTGTCTGCAGACCTCGGGAGAAAGGAGGCAGAGTTGAGCCCCAGGACTCCAATAGCGACTTAAGGAGGGGCCAGCCAGGGGCCATGCATGGGAGAGGGAGTTGGTTGATGCTGAGCTAGAAGGGGCCTGCCTTTATCTCAGGGGACGCCTGCAAGTCTGGTCTTTGACGCTTGGCTCAGATAAGGGGCCTCCTCAGGGGGGCTTTGCAATGTGCCTGTTAAAGTTCAAACCTGCCCCCCACCCCCAGACCCCAGGGTCTGTGTCTTTATGTGAGGTTTGCAAACAGGTTTGAACATCTGCAGCTGGCCTGACCGGTTAGACAGGCCAGTAACCAGAGAACTCACTCTCACACACACCCCCCTCGGGGTCTGCTTTGGGAGTCCCAGAAACCAACATTCCTCCTTGGTGCTTCAGTCCCGAGAAGAGGCAGGTGGGAGCCCAGGAAGCTCATGCACAGGGGGTTTCTGCACCCCCAGATTTTCCTGCAGGCTCCGTTTCACTCTGGTCGCATCCTTCTGCTGACGATTTTTAAACGAAAGCTCCAAGTGCAGGCGCAAACGTGCCCTGTGGGTGCGGGCAAGTCGGCTCAAGCACTTGGTCGTTTGCAGACGGGAAGACAACTGTCGGAGCCAGCATGAACCAACTCCCTCTCCATAGCATGGCACCTGGCTGGCCCCTCCTATGTGATATTGAGTCCTGGGGCTCAACTCTGCCTCCTTTCCGGAGGTCTGCAGACAGCAAGCAGCTGGCTTCTCGGAAGGCTTTTTCCCATTTCCCTCACTCTCAGAAC